TGTCTAGACCGTATCAGCGAGGTGGATAAAGAATGGCATTGTAACACCATGTGGACTGAATTACGTGAAACGACGTATATCGCATAAAAAGTTTGTTAATGGCTGAATAACTAGGATTAGACGCGTTTGCGCTTTACGAGCACTGGACAGAGGGGGGTGGGGCCTACAGTAGTGTCAAAATGGAAAGCATGCTGCAGACTGACGCCATCTATAAATGCGACATAATCGAGGCCACCTCAGAGGAAATAAAAAGGTCTGCTCAAATTGTTTTCTCACTTACCTTATCCTGATGGGTGCCATCTGATATACCGTCCCTGCTTGGAGTTTGAGATGCAGACCTGATCTCCATTTGAACACCATCAGCATGAGGTGCCTTGCTTATAAAGACGATGTCTTCTGCAGTATCGTGTTTTGATTCCGTGTAAGAAGGTACAGCTCGTTCATGAACCTGGAAGATAAAAGTGCAGTGGTCGAATTGGCCTTCGATTCCGTGATCTTTGCACCTTCAGTGTGGTATGCTACCGCTTTACTTACAGTCGCTTTTTGTGTTAATAGCTGTACGTAAACCATGTGACACATCAACACCGTATCCCTGTCGTAAAGGATCAATAATATATATTTAGCTAATCTAGAGATAAACCGGCTAGTGCAAAAAATGGAGCTTTAACTATGAGAATGTGTGAATTTTTGGGTAGCATGTCCAACCGGTTTATGGGTTCAAAGCAGATTATCGGTTTACAATTTAATCTTCATAAGCAAAACGTGTGCATTTTAATACAGAAAGTATCATGAGGGATCTAGAGGAATATGAACTCTTACCACAGAAAGTTGTTGAGTGACTTTTTCGTAATGCAAGGATCACCTGCTGCGAAAAAATGGTTACTCCCAGACAGCCTATTAGTTCACTTCATGCAAATACATTATAATTTATCACGCCAGTTAATAATGTACGCCAGTAGGGTTCCTAGTCCATATTTTCACTGTACTCAGCAAAACGTTTTCAGAACTTACCCAAGACGAAGACCAAAACGTTATACCGAGACACGGCCATGAGGCTACAGCGGAAATGGGTTCAAATGAGGTAACGACGATCGGGCGTTACAGCGAACTTGCTGCTCGACGCCGCTAGATGGTATTTATTTAACGAGTCTGTCCACAATAACTGGTGCTTTAAATCGCCGTCTGCATTGTTTCGCGGTTGCACCGCTTGGGACGGGATGGCAAACAATGTCAGGGGTAAATAGTGGGGTCTAAGTTTTCATCTGCTGGTGTTTACCGTTTTACTAATGGTGAAGTGGGTCGACGCAGCGGTCATTGTTTGCACCTGCCTACCTGTTGGGACTGGTGCGCTGTGGTGGTGCTCGCTCCGCCGACGTCTTTCAGAAGGCGATGACAGACTCAACCGGAAACGCGACCGACAGCAGCGCGGCCATGGCACACCAGACGAGTGAAGAGGTGATGGGCTAATGTACAGAGGCACCTCGGCCAACAAATGGCGACAAAGTTGGCACCAGCGTTGACAGAGGCTGAAGCGAACTTCACTTCCATCCTCACAGACCTCTAGAAATGCTTGGACAATATTTTCTACCTTCATGGTCTGAGAAGACGATTTTCGTTGCAAGCACAGGAATGGCTACGACATTCCTAACCAACTATTTTTTCATCGCACAGGGTAGTCAAAAAATAAGAGATTGAACATGAACCTCGGCAGGACAGGTCATTTGAATATGATTTTTTTTGAAGTCACAAGGCTTAACCGTACTGTCGCATTCCCTTGAGAAACCCAGAAAGCCGTTTACATAGCCAACGGCTGCATGACCTAAGGGTAGAGACAGTGTATGAACGCAACATCGCGTCACTTTAAGGGTCAAACAATAACTCGTTCCAAGAATCAACAAAAATACTTTGCGCCATAAGTATATTTACATGTGCAGGTAATGAAGCTTCCTGGATTAGTATTCGATTCTTGATCAATGATGACTTGTCAACAGATCATTGTTTCATGCATCGTCAAGATACCCATGTAAATTCTTTACATTTTGCGACATACTCCTGTGTCAAAGAAGCAATCTGTTTATGTAGAGGTCAGCTCATAATGTTTCATGATGCAAAAAAGAGCTTTCACTGAGTTGCTTTTTCGCGGCGGAAGAAGAAGTGTCAAAGAGTGTCTCTAACGTTCCTGCTCCTGCGTCAGCATCTGTTTCGGCAGAAGGTAACCCCAGTCTTGAACACAGCCTGCTACACTACTTTCCCACTTTACTGTATGCCGTTCCCCGGGTCTTCGACTGATTGTTTGAGCAGTTGGTAGCCATGTCGCCTCTGCTTTTCGAAAGAATTTCAAAGACGTACCCAAACTATGGCAACTATGACTTTTCAATCTCGAGAAACAGTGGACGTGCGCCAACGCTCTCTCGGATATCTGAATTCTGGATCATGTCGCCAACTGGACTCAGAAAAACCGTCTCAGCCACATCTACCCGTGATCACAATATTTCAGACGACTGGCGACCATATGTGGAAACTGGGTCGAAAATCGACTTCAATACAGCCTTATTCCGATCAGTTGAGGAACGCCGCTGTCCATCCAGATTGGCCAGTCAAGATCGCCCTCCCATTTTATGTCATCAGCAGACACGACCTAGAACTGAATTTCTGCACATGTTCCACTGTTTTCATTGTGCTTCCATGTCGGTCACATCATACTTGGCTGCGAACCTTTCCAGAGAGCACTGAAGTTCAATTTTTGACAATGACCACAATTTGCCATGACACAACTCCTGCGATTAATATACAGCGACTTAACGGTCATAATAACTGGCCACTGATGCTACATTTCTGTAAGCACGCCCAATGCTTGTTGCATGTGATCTGATAATGGGCTTTCTCAGGGTCGACACAACACAAGTAAACCCATTGAGCAAATTCCCATGATTCATCAACAATTTGGCGCAAGCTGAAGGCCTGATCAAACGCCCTGGAATTTACTGCATGCCCTTTTAGATGCCTTTAGTCTTAGACGAACAATGCATGCCGTGGCTAACACTTTTCTCACCGTCATCAGCCTTTTCCAATTCACTGTTTGATGAAGGCCTCTCCAACATTTTGCCATGCATTTCTTCTATTCATCATCTTCATCCAGCTAAATTCTTCAGCTCATCTTACCATGAACCTGGTTTTCTTATTGGCAGTTTACTCTCTTGTGGAAACCAGTCTCATGTCTCCCTGGTTTAGAGATGGTCGATTCTTCGTGCAACATTCATTTTGAATACCTATTTTAGTATCCTTATTTGGGCAATGGCACCACAGACTCTTCCATGCGCTCTTAATCATCTTTTCCTGTTATTTCCAACAGACATTTTCCCATCTTGTGTTGCACAGGCTGCACTTTACAATAGTTTTTAGGCTTTGCAACCACATTCAAACCAACAGAGTGCCACTTGGAGCACCTAATGATAATAGAGAACTGTCTGTTTCAAGCAGAACAGTGATTTCTTGGACAAGAACATTCTCAGTCCTGCAGAAGTTTCCCACGCCATTTTTCGTCCTTTGTTAATTTCACGCAGTTTATTGTCAGTTGCAGAATTGAGCTTTCCTAGAAAGGCCATTTTGCGGCTCTTCAAAGCTAAGTCCATTGCTGCAACGCGTGCGAAGTCATGTATTTGTGCAACATGACCAGAAACTTTTTCAAGTTCACTTTCGGTCCTACTCTGATGCC